TAACAAGACTAAGAGTCTACAGCCATTCCAGTAGCTCTGTGAGGCTGTACTCAGGAACAGTGGTGCTTTGAGATGCATAACATACTCACAATAACACATGCTGATGTTTAGTTAATAGAATATTTACCATGTTGACCATCTTACTGTAGTGTATTAGCATGGTAGCATTTGCTATTTAGCTCTAAACACAAAGTAAATTTGAGGCTGAGAGGAATGTCGATAGTTTAGCAGGTATTTGGTCATAAACCAAAGTATTGAACAAATTAGAATTTTGACCTGGTGATGAAACTAGATGGTAAGTCAGGGCATCACCAAAGTTATTTAATTCATCCTGAGGGGGATATTAACGTCCTAACCAAATTCAATGTCAGAACATTTCATTCAGAAACACATATGTCGGGATTGATCCTCTAGGGATCCTGAATGTCAATCAAACACTCACGTTTGACTTATTATTTCATATGGACCCAAGTGGTGGACTGACCTACAGGCTTCCATTGCGCGGAGCCACGCCATTAGAATGGCTAAACACAATATGCAAAATGAGATATTTTGTTATGTAATAAGCATCACATTTAGAGCCAGCTATTTAATTAACCAATATATCACATTGAATAGTTTTAATACATTCAGATGCCACAAGGCAATGGAAGTTAGAGGGTGCTGATTAGGAATGGGTATCGCTACTCCATACCTTTATGGTATCGACCGAAACAGCCCAGTATCGAGTAGAATCGAAATGTCTCCTGTCAAACCAGTACTTCAATCGATACTTTTTGTAACCAGATCGCGGCAAAAAATGACTATTTGTATTTGCAGCCAAACACGCAAGCAACACAACAAAAGATAGAGAAGATCACGCCTTTTTTTCTCTTATGTGCCTGCACCATAGGTTGTATTTAAAAAAAAGTCTGTGCATGATTTTAACAGCCGCTCACCTTCGGCTGCAGTCTCAGGCATGTTCGTCATTGTTGTAAGTTTACCACCACAAGCTTGGCTTTCCGTTGGTTTCATCTTCTGGTATTATTTAACACATCACTTGTCATTGGCTCCAGTCGGCCTGCAGGGCTCACGGTGTGTGTTATGTGGATAATTTTAATATTTTCTGGCAAAGAATGTCTCTTTTTAAGACAGACGGACTTCACCCAAACAAACGGGGCTCAGAAATGTTAGCTGCTCACATAGAGCATGTGGTGCGGTCCACACATGACTTACGTGAATGACTAATCATTCATGCAGCACACCTGGACGCACCACCGGTCACTGAACAGATCTCTGCCTCACTGCCACAAACAACTGTCTCCACCTGCTGGCATGTAAAGCCGTCTGCTCCCAGCGCTGTTCCCAAGACTTCAATTCCTGTCATCATCACGCATAGACCAGTAAACCGAAATGTGCACATCCCACACAGAAATAATAGTAATCTCTTAAGGATTAGGACAACTGCACCAACTCCAGCACCCAGAACAAACTCATTTAAAATGGCTCTCTTCAATGTGAGATCACTTTCAAGTAAGACTTTTATCTTAAATGATTTTATCTTGTCTGCAAATCTAGATTTTATGTTTTTAACTGAATCATGGTTGCAAATGAATGACTATAGCCAGCTAGCTGAACTGTGTCCGCCTCAATATGATTGTTTTAGTCAACCGAGGGTCAGTGGTCGTGGTGGTGGGCTAGTGAGCGTGTATAGGAAAAATTTTAAATGTCATCAAGTACGCTGTGATGAATTTAACTCCTTTGAAGTTCTCACTCTTAAACTTGGAGGGCTGCAACCTATCATATTTGTTATAATTTATCGCCCCCCAAAACCGCCTGGAGGATTTTTAGCAGAACTTCCTGAATTTTTATCTACTCTGGTTTTAAATTATGACAGAATTGTTGTTTGTGGCGATTTTAATATTCATGTTGATGACCCCACCAATGTTAATGCAACTGACTTTTTAAATATGGCCACTTCTTTTAACTTCAAACAACATGTCAAAGGGCAAAACCCATAACCGTGGTCATACACTGGACTTGGTTTTTACCCTGGGTGTCAGCATTTCCTCTGTGGAATTAGTGGACTTGACCATATCTGACCACAGATGTATTGTTTTTAGCTGCGATTCGCCTGTTACTCATGCCGCCTCACCAAGCTCCGTGTGTTCTCGCATCTTTAATGAACAAAGTGTTTCAAAGTTTTGCGCATTCTTTCAGAGCCAAAGCCAACACCTGTCTGATTCCAACACCAACAATCTGGTCGATCACTTCAATCATATCCGCTTGTCGTCACTAAATATTACTGCTCCTTAGGTAGGTTAGGCCTACGTCTAAAGCTAGTAAGCAACCCTGGATAAATGACAGCATTCGCAGCCTCAAAAGGGAATGCAGGAAAGCAGAGCGCATATGGAAAAAATCTCCAAGTCCATTACCTCAGTCTGAAGGATTTATTAATTAACTACAATAACATGGTTAAGGATGCGAGAACACATTATTTTTCTGAACTCATTACTACACATAAACACAATCCCAGGTTTCTGTTTAAGACTGTGGATCATCTGGTAAACCCAACCCCTCCTTGTGCCTCAGCTGGAAGTAATGATGACTGTGAATTGTTTTTATCTTATTTTACCAATAAGGTGGTGTCAATCAGAGCCTCTATTACCCCCACTGCCTCTTACTCAGAGGTTCCTCACCAGCAACAAGAGAGTTTTAACCAGTTTTATCCCATCGACTTGTCTGAGCTTTTAAAAACAGTATCACAAATGAGAGTGTCCTCCAGCCCACTTGATGTAATACCTACAAAGTTTTTACTGAAAGTAATAGATTCTGTTGGACCCCATTTGATCTCTGTTTTCAACAGCTCCCTATCTACTGGTTGTGTCCCTGATTATTTTAAAACGGCTTGCCTGAACCCACTTTTAAAGAAACCTGGTTTAGATCCCTCCCTCCCACATAATTTTAGACCAATTTCAAAACTGCCTTTTATTGCAAAGATTCTAGAAAGAATTGTGTCCAAACAACTGCTCACTGTGCTGGAAAATAACAAAATATTTGAAAAGTTTCAGTCTGGTTTCAGGAAGTACCACAGCACTGAGACTGCCCTGCTTAAAGTCACCATTGACCTTTTAATGTCTGCTGATGAAGGTATGTGCTCAGTCCTGGTACTCCTGGACCTTAGCACTGCTTTTGACACCATTCATCACAACATCATGTTAGACAGACTGAGGCACTGGGTGGGGATCTCTGGTACTGCCCTAGAATGGTTTTCCTCCTACCTGTCAGATAGGAAGTTTTGCGTGTCTGTAAACAACTATGTCTCTTCGTTCTGTCCAGTTAAATATGGTGTGCCTCAGGAGTCGGTCTTAGGACCCATTTTGTTTTCCTTGTATCTGCTTCCCCTTGGACATATTATCCATAAACATGGCATTTCTTTTCATATTTATGCTGATGACACACAAATATATTTGACCGTCAGATCCACAGACCCTGGAATGCTGAGTTCACTTAACAACTGCCTTTGTGAAGTAAAAAAATGGATGTCAAATAATTTCCTCCAGCTGAACTCAAAACAGAAATCCTGGTCATTGGGTCCAAGCATGTATTTTAGTCTTTTCAATGTTTTCATGCTTTTATCTTGTATTGTTTTTGTATTATTGTGTTTTGGGTATTATTGTCTTTATACTTGTTAAAGCACTTTGTAACTTGTTTTTGAAAAGTGCTCTACAAATAAAGATTATTATTATTATTATTATTATTATTGATTGCTGCGTTCCATCACATCAATGCTTTTGAGGCGCAGCAGCACGCATGAGAATATATCCATCTCTACAAACTTTTCAGACTTTACAGGAATCCCTCACAGTATCACATCTAAGGTCTACATTATGATAGAGAACTCTAACCAGGTCACTACATCTAAATGAAATATACTGTAATAGAAATACTTGTCACCTCACAAAAGACTATAATACAGGAATTATACACATTTTCATAATAAATGTTTTGTATTAAACCAAAATAAAAGGGCCATCCTTCCACTGGTAAGTATACTCTATACTATACATACCGTAAAACTTTGAATAATAGCCCGGGCTTTTTTTTCCCAACAGACTGCTTATGGCTTTTATTTTGAAGGCAGCAACCTCACAAAAACAACAACATGGTGCAGAATGAGACTGTTAGCAGATAGAGAACGATGGACTTCACATGACAGGATTCACAACTTGGATACATTTTTCTAAAAAGCTGTTTTGATTCTTTTGATGGGTGGACCCTTACAGACTAAAGGAATATATTAAATAATCAAGGAATGGACACATTCGGACTTAACGAGCGCTTCAAAGTTAACATGAGTCAGCACTTTTTTCCCCTTTTCCTCTCTTGTAGCCATGCAGGTTACACCGGTAAATCTAGAAGAATTAGACTTTGGGTCTTGTTGTTTTCGTTAAATGAACTTAACAATGGTATTGTGGAGAATCTAACTGATCTAACGATGTTCAGCATGTCCATATTGATCATACGTTTAAACATTAATATTTGTATTAACTAAATCTAAGTAGCTTAGACGCAGCTAAAGCGGGAGACCCCGCGGGGTTTAAGAGGTTTTATACATCCAGAGAACTTCTATAAAAAACAGACCAGGCGTTTAATTAAGGCAGGCATTTATTTGTCAAAATGTGTTCCCACACCAGGCCAGTAAAGGAGGTAGGCAGCTATTTGGGACTCGGCTGTTAATTGAAGTTTTACGGTAAATAACCAAAAAGGGGGGAAACAATATAAACAGAAATAAGCATCCAAACTGTCTGCAAATGCATTTGACTCCCATCTAACACTGTACACCTTCTCTTTAAAATGCTTTTGTCCAAGTAAATAATGAATGCTTGGATGCTCTGGTGGCTCTGCAGGCTGGACCACAGTCCACATGCTCACAGTATTTTTGGGGCGAATCTTGTCTCCTCTCTGTCTGTCATGTTTCTCAGCTTGTCTAAACTCTGTTATATTTGTGTGCGTTGCAGTTTCCTCGGCGTGCCCCCAGGCAGAGGCAGTTGCCCACTGACTGGACCGCTGCCCTTTGACCTCATCTACACTGACTACCACGGCCTGCAGCAGATGAAGCAACACATGGGGCTCTCACTCAAGAAACACAAGTTAGTGGGTGTGCATTGTGTGTGTGTCAGCAATTTTCCAGGGAGGCAGGTAGGTTAATTGGCTATGTTTATGGATTAATTATTGCTGGCAATAAGGTGTACATGTCTCTGTCCAGATGCCTGACTGTAACTCATTGAGCTTGTTAAATTCACACACACATTTCTGTCAGACAAACACACTCGTGCACACACACATACTGCTGTCTCCCTTTAACCATTCATTTCTATTCAGTTAAAGACCACAACATGTCAAACACGTGATTTTACATGTTGTGATGTAATGGAACAACTTCACGGCACACATCACACACTGTTGTCTCAATGCACTCAGAGGCTAGCTGTCAACAGAAAGGTAGTGATTAAGCACAGAAAGAAGAAGAGACAGGAAGTCAGGAAAAAGAAAACAGAAGACATCTGCCTCATGAGAAAGAAGAAAGATTAGTGAGACGTTAAAAAGAAACAGGCTGAGAGCTTTTTTTGTGCTGTTACAAAAGTGTGCTTAATGGCTTTTGGCATTGCTACAAAGATGGAACAACTTGGAAACTAGGCCATGACAGTCATGAGACTGAAGCAACAAAACACTAAAGTAAAACCCAAAACGAGATTTTAAAGTGCCAGAGTGCATTTGAAAAAAAGAATCAGCTGCACAACCCTGCAGAGCGAAGTAATACAAGCTTGTATTATCTTTAGAGGTTGTGTTGCCTCAGAAACACATAAAATTGAAAGTTCAAGCTTGAGCCTTGTCCTCTCCAGCCCCTTAAAAACAGCTTGCAGCCACCCCCCTCTCTCATCTCATCTTTCCTGGTCCAATAAATTGGCATATTTGTCTACCCCCTGTATGGGATGGCAGCAGTTGACATTTTGCTTTCCTTGTTCTTTACTCCAGCGTAAAGAAGCAACAATAAAAGATAAAAGAGGAGAGGGCATATGTTAGTCAGCAGCCAATTGAAAGTGAAACAGAGAGAGGAAAAGAGTACTGAAGAGATAAAGCAGTGAAGGTGTGTGGGGAGATGGCAACAAAGGAAAAAAAGAGAGCAGAGAAAGAAAGACACCACAAAAACAGAGGAGGGGGTCTGGAGTCAATCTGACACCACATATAAAGGGCCACTCCATGTATTTTTAAAATCCAATTATCCATTACTGGTTTCTCATGATTTGTCTCTCACAGAAACACACACACACAATATCCCAAAATTACCCCAGACAAGATGCCACTTAGCTAGCAGTCGGCACCTAATTGCTTGCTGAGGTCAGCAGTTCTCCGCTCCGTCATTACCGTGTGGGGTCTTGATTTCTGCTTTTCCTAACAGAATGTGACTTTTAGTATTTGTAAGAGACACTCTTTTGTTCGCTCAGAAGCGTGCAGTGAAGGAATTATCTGAATGTTTCAGCAACACAGATGGAACGAGAAACATCTATCCTCACTTTCAAGAGAGGGTGCGCTTCGACAAATTCAAATATATGAAGAAGAATGGCAAGGATATTCAGTCCTTTGTGCAGCTGAGAGCTCAGGTGCAGATTTTTAAACACACGACAAGCTTTTTAAATAATTCTCTCAGTGAGGTGTATGTAACATTAATTTGTAGTGATTTACAGTAAAAAATAAATAAATAATTAAAAAAAGAAGAAAGAAAACTACATTGGTATTTATATTTCCCTTCCAGATTTTCCCTATCAGCCTCCACATCTTCATCCATTTATCTTAACCCAACAATTCCACTATCCCCCAGAGGTTTAAGACTGGTCAATGACAAACCTATTCACTTCTCCCTACTTCCCTCTCTCCTGCCTCGTCAGGTGTTAGACCAGTCTAGCTGAGCACCTTGCGCTGAAAGCCATCATTAATCAACTGCTCTGAGCTTTGGGGCCCTTCAGCTCCCTTTAATTACTTTTGTTTTATGTTCCCACCGACATCCACATTCATTTATTATGCCTGGACAACACGGTGCTGTCCTGTGCGGTGTGTTGTGTGTGTGTGCGTGTGTGTGTGCAAACGCATGTGAGGGTGTGTCAGTGCATGTGTGCTGCTGTAAAAGATGCTAAAAGCCGATAGGAGATAGTCTTAAATCACACCCACTCACCTTATAATAGGACTAGCCTATTGATTTCCTTATGCATGCTGAATTCATTGCTCTGATAGAGGCAGATCAGAGAAGATATCCAGGGGAAGTACTTCCCTGGAGCTTGCTGGGTCTTTGGGGACACATCACTAACAATTTAGGTACATTTTTGTTAGTGAAAGACCAGTTTTCAAAGAGGTATCAGTCGCGGGTTGTTTGTTTTGATTATGGTATAGTTTTCATCTTGCTTAGTCTCACTTATTAAGAATACTTCTCCAAGGTAAGATAATGATTCTCCAGAAAACAGTCACTAATGTCTTGGGGTCCTGTTTACTGCCACACACAACAATAAATTACTGATGCTTCAGCTTTAAAGTTTGGTTCAGTTGTTTTCAAATCTAGCTTTTATTTGAGTTTTGTATTACAAATTGTACATCTTGTATGTTGATGACTATCTTTCTGATTTTAAATAATTAGTGGGTTTAAGGGTTTAATTCGTCCAAGTTGTTGGAAGATTTCTCATGTTCTTAGGCTTCTTTGCAGTTCTCTGTCATTCATGGTTTTCCACAACTAACGGTGACCCTGGTTTTGACTGAAGTGAAAAATGTTTTTAAAAACCACTGTGGTTCTACAGACAGGCAGTCTTAGGCAGTGACCTCATTTAGGATCCCAGTCTCAGGGTAGAAGCTCCTCCTGAATCGCAGAAGGGTGAAAAGGCTGTTATCCAGGTGGTTGGGATCCTTAATGATACTCCCAGCCTTATTCTTGCCTCAGCTAATTAAAATATCCTTTGAGCAGGGTAGAGCACTGTTTGGTGCTGTGATGTTCTGAGTCAAGATGCTCTCTATCGTGGAGTAGAAATTCCTCAGTATTTGAGGAGAGACCCAGAAATTCTCAGTGGGGAAACAGTCTCTGCCTTGCCATTCTCACCATTGAGTCAGTATGCCAGGACAAGAAACATTAGGGTATCATGGAAGAAGACATAACCTGTGTACTGTAGAAAAGGTCTGCGTGATGTCTTACTTTCCTCATGCTGTTTCTCCAAGGCTGCAACTGTGTTTTCTCAGCCTGTTCTCATTCCCAGGTGGTCAAGTTTTGTCACGCCCCTCTGCATCACACATCTTTAGTGTCTGTATGAGAAAGACTTTAGAAGACAGGTGACGTAGTATAAGAGTGCGAAAAAGAGAGAGACCGGAGTTCATGTCCTGTATGAAACCAAAAAACAACAGTGTACGTTTTTGAAGATACATAGCGTTATGTACGTGACTTACACGTCTCATCACTTACGTTACAAAAAAACTTATTTTAAAATGATCGTCTAAACCTAACCAAACTGGACCATTTCACACATTAACCACTTGTTAAAAAGGCATAAAAAGGGTAGGCTACTTAGTGCATCTGAATGAGATACAGAGGGGCGTGACAAAGCAGCACCGGTATTTGACGACTTAGGATGAGAATGTGTTGGAATAAATAGACTGTTGGAGCAGCTGCTCTGAGCTGTCTAATATTCCCGCGGTTAGGTACCTTGTGCGTCTGCATGAGATGCCAAGAAGTGTCTGTATTTGAAGACCTGGGAATGAAAACACGTTGTTTTTCCTCAACAGAGAAGCAAACAAGAGAAAGGGAGAGACAGAAATGGAAACAGAGCGAGAGAGAGGACTGAGGCTTCTTGACAGCAGTAAACTAGCATCAAACTCTACAGCGCAATTCTTTTCACCCAGGCAGTAAAGGAATATCTTGCATCTCTCATGTTACTGCCATGTTTGTTGGCCAGCTGGCCAGTTTTAATCAGACAATGGGCCAATTGAAAATTATAGACAAGATTTGTATTTGAAGTGGAGGTATGCTTTGTGTGTTGAAGTAGTGTATAGTGTGCTGCACTCTGAGGGGAGTAGCTAACCCCAGCACTTCTTTAAATGCAAGTGTCAACAAGCATGGTTATCAGGATGGTTATCAGAGGCATAAATTGAGTGAAACATATCACTAGTTCGGACAGAGACAGTGTGTAGACTAGTGAAATGCTACATTGCCATTGTGCATTAGAAATGATTCCTTCAGACATTTGATGTTTTGAGTGCCTTCCTATCCAGGGTGTCAGTTTGTGTTGTCCATATGAGGTCCTCAGTCCTCTCTGCTGAGTTTGTGTTGAGTCTGATGGGATCGTCAGCTCCTTTGTCTTTCTGACATTCAGGAGCTGGATAAATGATAAAATCATGCTTTACAGTCGCTGGCTCATTGATTAGCTGCTCGGCTACCAGCTGAATACTAACGTCCAATTATATTCATACAGGCGTACAGCACAGCTATTATAACCTGACACCTCTCACTATTACTCTGCAGACGCATGCTTGTCCCAACTACAACAACTTCCTCCATATGTGCTATATTCTTGGTAATGTTAATTAAACTTAGTTTTAATCCTCATGTATGTTTATTATCTCTCTCTTCTGAATCCTGTTTGCTGCCTCATCTGCCAAAGCGATCTGCTATAAATGGTCAGTTCCTTCAAACAAGTGTATGTGACTGAAATGTATTGTTAACAGCACTGATAAGGGATCAGTAATGTAAACTTAACTTTATTTATAGAGCACTTCTATTAAAGAGTTTTCTAAAAGTTTAATTCTTCTTTCTACTGATTACATCTGTGACACACCAGCATATCTTAATAAGGAGAGATTCATTAGCAAGAAGATTATCACTACTTTTACCAAAGTAAAACAACAAGGCAATTCAAAGATATAAATACAATTAAAAAGAGTTGAAATAGTGTGAGTGAGTAAAAGTAACAGTGCAGTGTAAGATATTAATCAGAAGCCTAAAATTTGATTTAATAGCAGAAATTAGCAATACCACAGTGTAAAAAATACTTTAAATACCAAAAATAAAGGTACTCATTATGCAGAATGGACCCTTTTAGAATCATATATATATTACATAACTGGAATATAATTAGGTATGCTTTAATGTGTGCGTCACTTTAATGTTAAAGCTGGTAAACGACAAGCTAATTTTAATTACTTTATATACTTATTAGTTAATTTATATATATTTGTATTAATAATCTAATCTGTAAAGTAATTAATAACAAATCAATCAAATAAATATAGTGGAGTTGAAGTATAAAGTAGCATAAAATTGAAATAGTCAAGTAATAGATACATGTGAAAATAAATAACTGTATAGGCCTATACTGTTTTATTTTATGTATTTTATATTATACCCTATTCTAATATAAATATAATTATCTGTTATGTTCTATGTGTGTAGTATGAAGGGACTACAAACTTTCATTGTACAGCCTTTTGTTGTATAATAATAAATAAATTACCTTTATCCTTGAAATGTACTTGTTACATTATACCACTGCATAATCTTTAGAAAGCATGTTGTTGAAGTGTGAATACAGATAACCATCATTGACTGCATCCACATTTTATGTGTAAAGAGGGTTTTGCCTGAGCCTGCCTCCACACATAGCTGAATTTATTTCTACTCATTGGGCGAGGTAAAGCATAATAACAAAAACAGCTTAAAATTAAAGTTTAAAGAGTCTGTTGTTGTCCAGTGAAATTCAGGTTCTTCTTACTCCCCATAGCTAAAGTTAAAACTGTGGGTGACAACACAGCACCTGCCATATTCCCCCTCACCCCAGAGGACTGTTGAGCCTTGCAGAGCAGCCGTTTAACCCAGATTAGCCCCATACTCTGATCTGCCGATAGATATTCAGCTCAGCTACTCCTCCACTTATCCCCTCTTCTTCCACTCCTTTTTTCCCTCCCTTCGGGACCTCTTATCTGTGGGCAGATACATTTTCACTGTTTCAGAGCTGGCGATATGTGATAGCTCAGGTTGGCAAGAGGGAGGAAGGGAGACAGGGCAGAGACAAGTGAAACTAACATTTGTTATTAATAATTCATTCAAGTCATCTTTCTGTGACCCTTACAAATAGACACAGCCTTTTCCACAGATTCTCATCTTTAGTGCTTCAAAACAAGGCTGCCCAGATAAGTGCATGTTTTTGACTCTCTTGCTGATAAGCCTGCTTTTCCTTTCTGATATATATCAATCCAGTCATTGGCAGAAATATATGAGAAGTGTCAAACAAGATGGGGGTGTCAGTTTTCTGCATTAAAGCTCCTGAAAATATATAAGCAAACAATAAACAAGTGCGGCAGATGCCTGAATGCAAAGCTAAATGCTGCTCTAGGAAATCAAATTGAAGGTTAGAGAGCCAGCAATTTTGATCTTGTTTGGATGATACACAAGACTGGCAAAACATTAGTAAAGGAGTCCTACCAAAAAAAACCAAGTTCACAGTTCAACACTTCAGCACTGTTAAAATTACCTTGCTCATTCAAGTGGATACGTGCCTCAAATGTAGAAAACATGACATCTCAACCAGATATTTCTAGTGCAGCTATAATACTGGAATGTACTAATATGTTTCAAAGAATCAAAGTGCAACTCACCATTTGCACCAATGTCCAACAGTAAGAAAGACATGTATTTCAGTAAGGAGTCAGTCAGAAGACTCTTAAGGGACCACTATGACTTCAAACACAAGGGTGACGTGACAGAGACAGCTGATGGCACCTGTAGGCAATTATTTGAAAGCCTTTCTACTATTAAATTTTAGCTGTATCAATTTAATCTGTGCATAGGCAGACAACGCGGATATCCTTAAAAGTTTAAAATATTGCAGTGTTACCATTTTAGAGTTCTGTTTCACATTTTCACTTACATTATTAAATGTATGACATCGTGCCAGACGTGCCAACTCTGTTCAGAATGCCGGTGAAGTACCAAATAATGAAGGAACAGTCCAAACACAATGCTAATGTAGTAAGAGGACTTGTCAAGTCCATTTCTAATAATCATTTCTGCAAGTCCTTTAAGACTCTCACATGTACAGTCACTATTGCTGTGCCTACGTATCTGTAATCAATTTCATTTACATATTAATTTGAAGGTAACAACTTCGTGGCCTGTTATTGCAGTTTCTGAACAATAATTCCAGCTAATATTATAAATAACTTACTCAAATACAAGACTAATAAGGTTGGTGGTAACAGGCTACAGTGAAAGGGTAATGCAGCGAACATCAAGATATGTAAACACATGAGAATGTACATGAGAATGTTAGCATGTGACAATAGATGCCTGTGTACAGCCACAGGGCCAGTGGTGTGCCAGCAAATGGTTAAGTGACTTAATTAATGAAGAATGTCATTGGGCTATCTGACTCTTTCTTTTTCACTCTTTCACACTCACACACACACACACACACACACACACACACACACACACATAGTTATCTGCCGGGAAAGAGTCTCAGAGCTGAGGAAGTAGACTCCGCCACCTTTAGCTCTTGTTAATCCCCCTGAGCTCACAGACTGGCCAGACTGAACACACTCACTGGTGCAGACAAGAGCATTCTAAGCTTTCTGTATGTGTATGTACACTATGTGTGTGTTAGAGAGCACTTGCATGTGTGTTTCCTAATGTGCACTGATGCACAGCCTCAGAGCTTCAATGCTGCGCTACTAAGCAAGCATTCACCTGGAACTTCGGACTTGCTCTGTTGCATCTCCAACGTCAAAGTGATTTGTTTGGTTGTTTTGATTCCTTTCATTTTGATGTCAAACCTCCCACACAGTACTTGACAGCTTGCAGGTAAAACTTCTGGATACCACACAGGGCCAGATGTGCTGACTTGAAAATGCAAAACAGTTTGTGATGTGCCTTGGATTCAAGTTGTGCTCACGATCTGCGTAAACGTAACATGTAATGTAGTCAGTAGCTGGGATGACCCTCTGATTTGTCACCAAGCTCAGAAAAGAAACCATAATGTTGTGATGCAGATTCAAGAATTTTTGTTGATATTTTGGTAACACTTTAACCAACCAACCAAATTTTAACCAACATTTTACAACACTTTATGATGTAAATTTTGAATGTGTAGTAATGTTTTTGTCAACAATTATAATTCCTTATTATAGCATCTATAACATCCATCCACTGGTGTATGCCGAATTACATCCTTGAACACCATATATCGCTGTAATGACATATGATTACAGTGTGTTGTGTTATAAAGCATTAAGTCTTAATACATACGGTATGTATATGTGTTCAAAAGTCATGATAACAGGCCATTATTAGGTGCAGTGGATAAGACACATGCCTTTGGTGTGAGAGACCCGGGTTCATGTTAAAAATTTGTTCAGTGTATGTATCTGACATACCATAAAACTTCAATTAATAGCCGAGTCCCAAATAGCCGCCTACCCCATTTACTGCCCTGGTGTGGGAACACATTTTGACAAATAAATGCAGGTCTTGATTAAACACCTGGTCTGGTTTTTATAGAAGTTCATTGGATGTATAAAACCTCTTAAACCGCGCCGGGTTGCCTGCTTTAGCTGCTTCTAAGCTGCTTAGATGGTTAAAACAAATATTAATGTTTAATTGTATGATCAACAGCCTATGTCAATATGGACATGCTACATATCGTTAGATCAGTTCGATTCTCCACAATTCAATCATTCAATTCATTCAACGTAAACAACAAGCCCCAAAGTTTTAATAATTTCTATAGATTTACTGGTGTAACCTGCATGGTACATGAGATGAAAAGGGGAAAAAAAGTGCAGACTCACGTTATGTTTGAAGCACTCGTTAAATCCACGTGTCTGTTCCTTGATTATTTATATTTCTTTTGACTGTAAGGGTCCACCGATCAGAAGAATCCGATTTTCATTCAAATTATCCCAAGTTGTGAATCCTGTCATGTGAAGTCCATCGCTCTCTGTCTGCTAACGCTGTCTGTCTTCTCTCATTCTGCACCTTGTTGTTTTTGTTACGTTGCTGCCTACAAATTAAAAGCGCATTAGCCGTCTGTCAAGCTAGATCATATCCATGACGTGTATTTGATATTATTTGATAATTTTTATATGAGTAATATTCTGTTTGAAATAAATGAAGTGTTTCATAGTAGCTTATTTCAGTTTTGTGCGACAGGAATTAAAGGCCTGTCCCTTATGGACGCCTGTCCCAAATATTGGTAGGGTCAATTCTGTCATTTTAGCAAATAAAAGCCTTGGCTATTAAGTTTTACGGTGTATAGCAATTGTAAGTTACTTTGGACAAAAGTGTCATAAATGTAAAATAAACACTTCACATTATAGTTTTTAAGTGTTTGTATACTGCTTATAAACTAGGGGGTTGAAAACAAAGGGTTCCTGACAATCTTTGTACATAGGAGACATTAGGAACATTTTTGTTTTAAAGTGATTATGCTTTCTCTTTACAGATGTCATATACGAGTGATTGACACGTTTGGGACGGAGCCAGCATACAATCATGAAGAGTATGCAACGCTGCACGGCTACCGGACCAACTGGGGCTACTGGAACCTCAACGCCAGGCAGTACATGACCATGTTCCGTAAGAACGAAAACCATTTCCCTAATTTAAAAATCGTGATTTTAATCTTCTGTAATACACGATAATACTGTCAGTATACTAATGGTTGTTTAACAGAATTGATAGTATTGATTTACACATCACATTATAAAAAGCATTTAAACTTTCATGTCCTCATATCTTTTAACACAGTTCAAGCGTTTGTATTTTATAACTTCAAACATGAACATTAAAACCTGTCTCACTCACACACGCAGACACACACACAGATCTTTCATCAGTTTTGACAGCTATTGTAAAAATGATGAAATGACTCCAATTCAGTGTTTTCACTTTCTTTGACAGGTATGGCTGCTTGCTCACATTAATTTGGAGTAATGTGTCTAATGCAGCTATTTTCAGCACCACCACAGCTCCTAGCGTCCCTTCAAGCTGTATCTGTTCTTTATTTCTTTGCTTTGCTTTTTCCTTTTCTGTTTCACGCTACACAATATGTCTGATCTGCTGTTGTTCAAGTTGCTGTTGTTGTCTGTGTCCTCACTGCTCCTTACTGAAACACTTGACTACTTAACTCTTCTTCTCCTCTCATATTCAGTTCTCAACAGCGTTGTGTCCTTTTAGCTATAGTTGGCGTTCAACAGCAGGATCATCATAATATCAATATGTGGCCTGCTGCAGACACCCACGTTCCACGCTGTCCTAAGCTATTATGACTGACTCAACCATTATCTGCCATATACCATACATCATTAACTGCTTCACACTTGTCAGAGAGCAGCAGGAGCCATAATATTTATTGAATAAATGAGATGTACACTGCGTAACTGAGTTTATAGTTGTACGAACATGAATATAGTTGATTTTTAGTCAGTAGTTGGGAAACAATTTGAGTGCACCTTGGTACTGCAAGAATCCTCAGCAGCTGGCTTTATGACAATCACTATACTTAGGGAGACAGTAATCACTCTGACTCAGAACTGAAGCAAACAAGGATGTGTTCTTTTTCCGTTTTTCCTCTGTGTCTCTCACTCACAATAAATCTTTCTTTCTCCACCTCTCTTGTTCTCTCTGTGTGTTGCTGTCTCTCTCCTTACTACCATCCTGCCTTACCTTACCACTCACACACACGTTCAGCTCACACACCGGACAACTCATTTATGGGCTTCGTTTCGGAAGAGCTTAATGAAACGGAGAAGAGCAGCATCCAGCAGAACAAAGTCAACAACATGGCTGTAGTGTACGGGAAAGAGGCCAGCATGTGGAAGGTACACGTAAACAAATCATTGTTCAGTGTATCCATGCAAAATAAACCAATTTCCAAAGGAAATACAAAGGCACACACACATGCACAAAATGATTTAATCATGTGCCCATACACGTATGCAAATGCAGACAATGCATGGATGCACATGTTGAACACCTGCATACATATACATAAAAAAGATCTCACTGACACATACACACACATGCATGGAAACAGTTCCACTGCAAGTTGCTCTGTTAAATTCAAAAAGTAGGTGACTTCAGATGTGAATTGTTCATACAGCAGTTTCTTTCAATGTTGGAACATGCAGGACCACACACACACACACACACACACAATACCCCCAATAGACTGCAGTGTTAACAGAAAAATCCAATGACAGCATTTTGCACACCCCGCTGTTTGCACCATTACAGCTCGGCTTCATGTGTCTCTATGTACACAATTGTACAGCTTTAATTTACAGGCAATTTCCCTCTCAAAAGCTGTCTGCTTGTTCCTCTGCGTACTGCAGACGGGCACAGTTGTGCCTCCATTGTTAAGGTGATTGTAAAGATGTTGTTTGCTGCCATTACTTTGTCTGTACAATTTCCTAGATTTCATTATAGTTGTGGCTTGTGGAAGAGACACAGAACGGAGATGGGGGTTATAAAAGTACAATACCATAATCTGCAAAAGCCTGGTGAAAATGTACAGAAATGTGTAATTAAAAAATGTGTCTCCTTTTTACCCCATTGTATTGTATTGTTGTACATCTACATTTTTATCTGATTTTATTTTCCTTTCTCCCTCTCTCCTTTCTTTCTTTCTTTCTTTTATTATATTGCGGCGTGTCCGACTGGATGCTCATTAGCTTCAGGTAAGAGCCTGTTACTTTCACCAAGTATTCCTGTTATGTTCATCTCATGCATATGCAAAACAGGCACAACTAACTCTGAGCTTTAGTTTTAAGTAACAGTAATTATCTTTTTATTCTTTTACTTGTAAGAAGGCACAATGAATGGTGGGACAGCCACTCTTTTAAAGGATGTTTTGTGTTTTACCACAATGTTTTAGTTTCTTATAAGTGAAACTTTTGAGAACATAACTTGGAAAATGTGACCAATGCAGCACTAGTGACGATGGTTAGTCTTCTCAAGTGGCTCCCACCTTATTTATAGCTTTTATTTCATAATTTTGTCATTCGCCGGCTACAAATGAGAAGCCTGCTTTTGTCTACCTCTGTCTAAAATCAAGGATTCATTGTTTCCAAAATGAAGAAGGATATTTTGTTGTCAATCTGCCACTGCTTTCTTTGTAAACAACATATGTGACATGCAAGAATAGAAAGCTTGACAGTAAGCAAATATGCTTTCTTTTTGTCATTGTACATGTTATTGTCCTGCAAACTATTTTCCTAAATCTACATTACAAGAAATGAGGTCAGAGGTTAAAAAAACAGAAGTCCTGTTTTTAAATGCAGGTTGAGAGTTAGCTTGGATATACAGAGAGAGAGAGAGAGAGAGAGAGAGATAGCTGCAAGTGCAGGTTCTGAAATCTGCTTTCTTCCACGCCAGTGTTTCTCCTGCTAATTTATGTTGTCTGCAACACTTAGCGCATGAGCTAATCTCCTAATTGGCTGGGAAAATCCTCACAGAGGAAGCTATCGATCGCTACAGCTTCCAATTATGGCTGTGGGGGGGGCCACACCACAGAACAAGGATGCAGTAAGCTGCTGAACACCAGAGGGCCAGTCAATACTATGGCTCAGGGTTACACTCCATTCGCATGATTCAGTTTTAGTTGTTAACTGATGGTAGTAGTTTTTTTTTTTTTGTTCTCCCAATCATCATACTCAAGCTTGACTTTGAAAGTGGGATGAATACACAAATATAAGTAAGAGCAGGCAATACTTTATTGCACATCTCACCCGCTACAATCATTAAATAAAGTAGATACCAATCTGCTGAAAGCTGCACTGAGTTCAATACCATTTTGTTTTTCTATTAATTTTTTCTATTTTAATAAATAACCTTTTGATTTCATGAAGAAATTATATCATACTTTCAATATAAGCTATAATATAATCTATTCAATCTGGAATCACAAGCATCATGATTATGCGTGAGTGGCTGAACTGTTCTATAGTTTCTATATAAATGTAACAACATTCAAATATGTTTTTGATGAAAATTTGTTTTACATGTATTTACAACAATAAATATTTTTTGTGTGCATTGAAAAATACCTCACAAAAGTACACCCCTCACATTTTTGTAAATATTTGATTATATATTTTCATGTGACAACACTGAAGAAATTACACTTTTCTCACTTTTCTCACACTCCCTCATACTGGTCACTGGAAGTTCAACATGGCACCTCATGGCAAAGAACTCTGAGGATCTGAAAAAAAGAATTGTCCCTCTACGTAACGATGTCCTAGGCCAGGGGTATTCAATTAGATTTCAAAGAGGTCTAGTTAGAGAAAATTTCCTGAAGCAAAGGTCCGGAACATCAAAACGACGAACTTGCGTTATCATTCAGTACTATAACCTATAGTTGTATCAACACATGTTTTTAGTCAACAACGGACTGTCAAATCAAATAATATTTCAGTCAGTTTTCACATCAAACTGGAGGGATAATAAATAATAACTATTCAAATAATAAATTCTAAATTTAAGTAAACTAAAGTGCCTAATTTTTAGAAAAAATGTAATAAAAAGTGTAGCTTGAAGTGATGAAGTGTAGTCTTAACCAATTTTATAATAAACACTCAACACATCATAACAAATGAACAGCTGTAATGCCTCCTCTTCTCTTTCATTTCCTCTTACAGAGCTACCACTTTCCTACTTTCTGTTGTTCAGTGAGAAACGTGAGCTCCAGCTAGCATATTGGAGATCTATGAGATATTCTGGTTTTGAACTGCCCGTGGGAGGAAAGTACATGTAAAAATCTGTACATTCTTGATTAAAAGTCATGTGAAATCTCTTTTATCTTTCGTCTCCTCAATTCGGGTGTGTTTCCAAAACGTCTCTGGTGAATCTCGCGGACTCGACTCGCAAGCCTTGGTATGCACAGATTTGATTGGCTGAGCAGCGTCACATGAGACGATTGGAGCACATGCGATTGGTCTGTGAGTTTCCTGGTCCTCTAAACCAGTACAGTAAATGCTAGAAAAGCTGCGCGGGTTAAAATAGAAACGCTCCGTCACGAGGTAGTAAGTCTCAATAATAAATGGGCTGTAGGTCGGCGGTCTGGAGAGGACGGTGGCTGGGTCCGGATCCGGACCGCGGTCCGCCTATTAGTGACCTCTGTCCTAGGCTATAAGAAAATTGCCATGACCCTGAAACTGAACTGCAGCACGGTGGCCAAGACCATACAGCGGTTCAACAGGACAGGTTCCACTCATAGAACAGACAGAACAGTCGACCAAACGAATTTGAGAGCACATGCTCAGTGTCATATCCAGAGGTTGTCTTTGGGAAATAGATGGATGAGTGCTGCATTGCTGCAGAGGTTGAAGGGGTGGGGGGGTCAGCCTGTCAGTGCTCAGACCATACGCCGCCCACAGCATCAAATTGGTCTGCATGGCTGTTGTCCCAGAGGGAAGCCTCTTCTAAAGATGATGCACAAGAAAGCCCGCAAACAGTTTGCTGAAGACAAGCAGACGAAGGACATGGATTACCAGAACCATGTCCTGTGGTCTGATGAGACCAAGATAAACTTATTTGGTTCAGATGGTGTCGAGAGTGTGTGGCGGCAACCAGGTGAGGAGTACAAAGACAAGTGTGTCTTGCCAACAGTCATGCATGGTGGTGGGAATGTCATGGCCTAGGGCTGCATGAGAGCTGCCGGCACTGGTGAGTTACAGTTCATTGAGGGAACCATGAATGCCAACATGTACAGTGACATACTGAAGCAGAGCATGATCCCCTCCCTTCGGAGATGATGACCCCAAACACACCTCCAAGACGACCACTGCCTTGCTAAAGAAGCTGAGGTTTAAGGTGATGGACTGGCCAAGCATGTCTCCAGACCTAAACCTTATTGAGCATCTGTGGGGCATCCTCAAACAGAAGGTGGAGGAGCTCAAGGTCTCTAACATCCACCAGCTCTGTGATGTTGTCATGGAGGGGTGGAAGAGGACTCCACTGGCAACCTATGAAGCTCTGGTGAACTCAGAGGGTTAAGGCAGTGCTGGAAAATATTGTGACTTTGGGCCCAATTTGGACATTTTCACTTAGGGGTGTACTCACTTTTGTTGCCAGCGCATTGGACATTAATGGCTGTGTGATGTGTTATTTTGAGGGGACAGCAAATTTATATATTCATCCCAACATACATTTGTGAATCCTTCTGTGTGTATTCATTAATAATGACACTGATCTAACAAGGTGTTCTTTTAGAGATGTATCCACCGTGGGCGTAGTCTTAGATTTAGATTTTGAGATTAACGTGCAACTGTACTGTACAAACATACTGACACCAAAGGCTGACAGCTACGCATGCAGACGGCAGACAGCTCAGACAAAGATCAGAGCCAAAACAAACAGAGCACACTGTACCCCAAATTCTTTTATCGTATTCTTCTCTATGCTGTTCTATTCTGATGAAATCCTTTTTTGTACACCTCTCTTCAGTCCTACGCCCTCAATCGCACCAACCCATCTCCTCTCCCAGCAGGGTAAAGAAGGTTTCCTGCAGATTCTCCACAAGTACATGGAGGTCCATGGCACAGTATACTATGAGACCCAGAGACCCCCGGAGGTCCCAGCCTTTGTGAAGAACCATGGCCTGCTTCCCCAGCATGAGCTGCAGCAACTGCTGCGCAAGGCCAAGGCAAGACACTGAAGAAAATATTACCTGCATACATTGCAAATTTATCTACTGAATTCTCACTGCTGGTGTCAGTCTGACTGCAGCTTCAATTACACTACCTACTTCTCCTCATCCAGAAACTGACTTTGGCACACACACAACGCATTACAAGAACTGATCTAAAACATGTTGAAGTCAATTACCATATTTACAAAATAACATCCCTGATTGTTTTTCTAGCTCTTCATTGGCTTTGGTTTCCCCTACGAAGGCCCAGCCCCTCTGGAAGCAATAGCTAATGGCTGCATCTTCCTGCAGCCCAAGTTCCGCCCACCTCACAGCTCACTGAATCACGAGTTTTTCAGAGGCAAGCCCACTTCTAGAGAGGTAAGCTCATCATGTTCATTACTTCCCACCACCGCTCACTGATGAGAATATTTTGGCCAGTGTGGTTTTCAGCACCAGCCACATTGCCAAGAAACTTTATCCATCAGGAGATCCTTTAAAAGAACTGGCACAATCTGTAGGCGCACACAGCACATGTTAGTGATAGGAGGCTGGAACATGGTGTTCCTAGAACCATCTATGCTGCTACTAATGATTGTCCACACAACCTTTGGAAAAATGTTTGCAATACATTCTTCTGGCCCAGTATGCTCTTTATAAACCTGAGAGTAACAAACCTAAATATAAGAAATTGTCCAGGTGTAATCATAAAATATTTTTATTTTTCATAATGTAAAACATTGATACAATCAAAAACCCCAAATAAAAACACATTGTAATTTATGACGGCAACTTCATCCTTGCAAGCAACAGTTAAGAATAAGCAAAATGATCTAACTCCCAAAATTAACCCTTATATGGCTGTTCAAGTGTGTCCTGGTAGCTCCTCAGACCGTTTTTCAAAGCTGAGTCCTTATCGCAGTGGCCCTGGTTCAAATGGTGTCTGGGTCCTTTGCTGCATGTCATCCCCTCTCTATCTCTCACCTGCGTTTCCTGTCTCTCTCTACTGTGACTATCTAATAAAGTAGAAATGACGAAAAAAGTCTTTAAAGCTGTTTAAGACATTTCATCTAGACAGATAAAGCTCTTCTGTATGCCCCGCATGTGTTTTCTGCAGGTGTCCTCCCAACACCCGTATGCAGAGCAGTACATTGGTAGACCTCACGTCATGACCGTGGACTACAACAACTCCCAGGAGTTTGACTCTGCGATCAGGGAAATCATGAGGACTAAGGTAGTATTACACACTGTGCACTGTTACTCACACAGATAGAAAACAAGATTTGTACATTGTGTAACAATGCTTAATATCTCGGTTGCAGCTACGCTATCAGGCAGTAATGTTAAATTGAAATAGAAAAGCCTTTTCTATCCATTCAGCTTCTCCTCCAGTCAAATTCCTCAGGACAAGATGTTTTGCATGGATCCTTGTTGATTTTAATGTGAATACTGGAGGATAGCTGTGATCTTTGAGGGGTTTTCTAGTGTTTACACGACAAAAAATGTAATGTAAAAGCAAAAATGTTTTAATATTCCACTGTATCCAGTGTTACGTACAACGTAACATTAAAAAACAGAATCTGCTCATATGGCAACCCTACCAATCCCCTGATGTGAATCATATCTGTTTGGCACACAATAAAAAGTTAAATAGTAACATAAAAGAATAAAATGTTTTATGCAACACCAGAGTAGTGATAATAAATCACTCTATTCTTTTCTCAGTGAGATTAGAGGTACAGATATCCTTGTTCTGTTTTCTAGTGTTTGCATTTTTTGCTTGCCTTTGCCATCATTTAGTTGTGATGAAATTACAGTAAAGTTCTGGGCCCTTTATTGTCGCTGTGAGCTTGATAAAGGTTTTTAAACTTTCATACAACAGCACAGTAGCTTTATCCACGGTGGAGTTTTTCCGGAGTGCCTTTGCCAGTATGTAGGTAGCAATCTTATATTGCAGAACTTTTCCACGCCTGAAATGTGGGCCGATAGAGAATATGAGGATGCTAGGAACTGCCAAGAGTGGGAGAGAGGTTAATTAAGGTGTCATCCGGGGGAGATTCAATCTTTGGGGAAAGGAAATGGGAAAACTCTAAAATAACCACAGCATAAATGTTTTATATCTCAAACTCAGTAATATTTAAAACAGTTAACTTTCTAAGCGCATCAAGTGTATGAAATTGAGTGTAGTAAAGCCACATGTCGATATTGCAGAAGAAATTTTCCTTTTGTCATTTCAAACACAAAATAGGAGATTTGTGTCAGCTTGGCTGTCCAGTAGATATTGTTGTTTTAGTTAAGTAAATCATGCTCATTGCAAATGATACTTTTGTCAAATGTCATCATATGTGTCATAATATGGCTTTGTTATTTCTTTCCATTTCAGCCATCTAGCTAATTCCATACTGTATTGCATAAAAAAAATCAAGCCACAGTAATACTCCAACAAAGCATTAATCTCAACTGTATTTAGGGCACAGGGATCATGTGCAGCAGGAAAACAGCTGTCTGCACGATTCTTTAAACATTCTGTTACAGTTTGTGCCTTTTTGCAGATTAGAAGTAGTGTGCATGGAGATTAGTGGGAAGGTGATATCTGTAGTGATGTGTGTGCGATCGCACGTGTGTGTCTGCTCTCATCTCTGCGTCTTGTCTGTGTTGTCAGACAAGCTACAGTTCAGCAGCACTGGCTGACTGCTCTGTTTCCGTCTGCACTGTCATACCATTGAGAGAGAGCTTCACTGGAGGCACAATGCCCCAGCAAACACACACACACACACACACACAATATTATTTTCCTTACATTTATCCAAATACAAACTCATAACCACAATTGAAGAGACACTGAAATTGTACACATTGGTCATATCAGTACACACGGCCTTGCCTGCACATTACGGACATAGCAATCTCTGGCTACATCCTTTCTTTATCTCTTTTTTTCTTTCATTCTATCCCTTTTTCTTTCTTTCTTTCTTTGTCATCCTTGGTTTTGTCATCCTTTATTGAGTTATATATCTTTTTTGTGCATGTAACAGGTTTGCAAAGTGAAAAAGCCGAAAGTCCAGCCCAAAAGGAGTTCCCATCTCCCACAGAAAGCACTGCTCTGAACCGCTTGAAAACAGCTCATTTGTAGTCCAGCCCTTCACTTCCTTTACTTGTGACGTCACAATGAAGCAGCTAGTCTCAGCGGAGGCTCTTTGGCTCGACTCGCCTTTGTTTGGTTTCCCATTGTAGAAATGTTGTATTTTTCAGCAAGGCAGCATAGATCGTCAGAACACCGGCAACAGTTCAATGTTTAGTCCTAAAAGACGATGCAACTCTGTTTGGGCCTGGAAATTCACAATCACAACCTGTAAGTATGCTTTTTTGGTTGTGAATCATATTTAAAATAAACACGGCAATGTAACTTCACAGACAAGTGCAGAGTTGTTGTAAACGTTGGCTAACACAGCTAAAGTTATAACTATAATGCTAATGTTACACCTGATGTGAAAGCTACTGAGCAAACGTTCAAATTTGCCTATTGTTACGTTAATTGAGTTGAAATATGGTGAATTTTGTAGTGGTTTATGGTAAGATGTGGAACAACGATGTTGTGTGCTTGTGGACTTGTGAGTAACTTATACCATCTGCTAGGTTACGGTCGCAGTCTGAAGGGGCTTTGATTTGGATCACACTACCCAGAGCCCTTTAAAGAGAGAGTCAGTTCATGGAGACCGCAGATAGTTCCTGGAAGTCCTGGGCGGGCAATTCAAAATGAGCGAGAGAAACGTCAAAAAGGCAATTTTAAGCTATTTCTGGTCATTTCTACAATAAATGCGTTGATTTACAATATTTGCACAGCACAGTGACATGTGTATGTAGTTACATTACTATTTTTTTTAAAAAGGAGGACATATATTTTAGACAATAACAGCTACAATCACCTACCTTGTGGACATTTTTTGGCCAACCTTACATTTGAAAGGGTGTTCCTCTTTAAAACACGTTTAATATTCAGATCAGATTTACCTTTCTAACATTCCTTTTAGTAATCCCATGGTACCAGGGTTAATTGATCTTAATGACTAATCTTTATGACTTCAGATAGAACAGACAGGTGACTAAAAATGATTGTCATGTATTAATTTAATAAATCTCCAGTAAACTCAGAAAACAGCATGTTAAGTGGTTTGTGTCTGTGAACTGTCTTACAATAGTCTACAGCACGGTTTATTGTGCTGTGTGGAGATGCTGCTGCAGTCGGTCAGAAAAAGGAGTACGAATGTTTGGTTTCCCAGCTGACATAGAGAGGAGGAAAAAATGGTTGATTCAGGTCAACAGGAGCAACCTTACAATCACTAAAGAGGCTAACAACAAAAAATATGTGAGGTACTTTTTCCACAAAAAAAGAACACATCACTGGCTTTATGTTTGGTTTATTAAAAACATCAATGCAGATCATCTTCAGGCTCTACTGAACCCCCTGTGATTCTTGTGCTGAGAGAGGGAGAACAAGAGAAAGGGTTAGACAAACCTACATATCTGTAAAAATTCATCCAGGTCATGTTTATCCAAGAAAAGCTGAATCGAGAGCATCAGGACGTTTCAGAAGAAGTCCAGTTGCTCTCAGTTCAACCTTTCTTGTGAACAGCTACAGGTTTGATTGAGAAAGTTATGGATTGTTAAATTTTGGAACTTCATTAACAGCTTTTGCTGCTGATGTTGGCATCAGTTACTAGATAGTTTGTTAGTCAGTGAATGTTTTTATTTTTTCAAACACTTCTCACACACAGGAACTCTGATGATGATGTGATATGAATTTGTAGAAAGTAATTATGTAATTGGAGTAAACATATCCGGTAAGAATTGAGTGTTCACCAATACGGTGCATTCAGCCACTATGATGTATTAATGTGGGTAAATAAACCTGAATTGTTGTGTGGAAAATAAGCTCATAAGCCAAGACAGGATGCAGACACAGAGAGAAGGGAAAGAAAATGATATAACATTTTAAGTATGATTTCTTATAAATGGTATATTATATATAATAGGCATTTACAATCACGTTCCACTCAGTACTCTTTAGCATCACTGCTCCTCCATCTTGCAGAGTCTACTGCTCTAATATAATTAATGAAGATTGTTTTTATAATGCTAGTATACTACTTTTAGTGTTAGGGATAACCCCCCCAAAAATAAATAAATAAATAATGTTTTGAAATCTTTTATTCATACATGCACCACTAATATATTTAAATAAAATTAAATACCACCCTCCAAAAATACATATTTTAAAATAAATTAATAAGCTGCCCCTGTTTATATTGTGTGCTGCTAACTTTATCCATTGCCAGTATGTTAATTTGTTAACCGTTAATGTCCCTAAATCTTCTAATTTAGTGGGGGAATACCACTAACATCTTTTAATGCACATGTTAACTTAATTCAGTTGTGCTAATAATATATAATCTTGTTTTTTACACGTCTTACCTTTCAAACGTGCATCCCAGATAGCATTTTCTATTGCAGCTCCGCTGCGCTGCTAGCATTTGATGCCAACTTCCGGGAACTATTCAGACGCTCCATGATCCGCCATTGCTGTGAAAAACTGGTCCATTGGAGTGAACGAAGATGACGCGACTCTCTCTTTAAAGGAGAAGGGTCCAGCTGCAGCCCGCAGACAAACTATAGACTGTATGTAAAAACCAGACAAACGTGACGGAAGTTGAACTTCCATATATGGGTTGTCCCAGAAGCCACCCTGCACAAAACGTGATGACGTTTATCTCGACCGCTCGGCCCACGCATAGTTGTTAAATAAAAAAAAGAGCCGTTAAAAAAAAGGTGTCAAGTGTCAACGTAGTAATCAGTGTACATTATGTGTTAATATTTACTATACTATACTTATATATTATTAATATAGTATATTTATGCCATAATTCTTGCAAATACTTATTTATAATAGCCTAATGACAATATGGCAATATTTCAATTCATACCACTGTTGTATATTTATTTCTTCCAAAGTGATATTAAGTTTAACAAACCAAGAATATTATGTAATGTTACATCACGAGCCAGATGTGTCTCGATTTATGTTAAAACTTTACAACATTACTGAGAATTTAATGACAGAATAACAGCGGTACGAACATTAACAGTTTCGTTCAGCTGTTGCTGGACACGTCTGCTGTGTTGGCTGCAGTGGTCTGTGTGACTGGGCCTGGGGGAGCTAACCGTAGCTAGCTAGCT